TCCTCCTCCTCCTCCTCCTCCTCCTCCTCCTCCTCCTCCTCCTCCTCCTCCTCCTCCTCCTCCTCCTCCCCTTCGTCCTCCTCCCTCCTCCTCGCGGCTCCCGATTGCGCCGCCGTGCTGCTTGGCAGCAGCGCTGCGGCGTAGACGGAGCGGCGCGTGCCGCTGTCCCACCTGGCGGGTCAAGCTTCTGAGGCGCGGCGTTTCTCGCAGCGCGCAGCGCAGCGAACGATGGTTCTTCAATACTTTTGTTCAAAAGCATGCGTTTCGTCAAAGAAGGCATCAAACATTGACTTCGTGTTGTCTCCAACAAGAAATACATTATCTAAACCGTTCTGGTTTTCGTGATGATGGGGGTTCGCTTAAAACTACTTTCGGATATCCGAAGCAGGCTGATTCCCATTTCGTGTTTGTTGTAGAGCGACTTGCCCTCCATCTCGTTCGTGTGAGTTCAATCCTGCCTACGTGAAGCATATGGAGGCTCATGGCTTGCACTCGCCTGTTGAGGTTCCTCCACCGCCTCGGTTTCTCCTTGTCACTTCTCTTCCACTCCTCCTCGCTCGTTGTTGTCGGCCGTAGCTGGAGCTCCCCTTAGGGCACCAGGGAATGATCCAAGCACGAGGCGGCATGGGAGTCCCTTGGGGTACGTCTCTGTCTGACCACGCCTCTGTCCTGTTTCGTCTCCGTGTGTCTGGTTCTTTGATGCCCCCGTAGCCGTTTTGATCCGAGGTGTGCAGGCATGCCGGGCCGAGCACGGCGCCCGCGGCACTCGCAGCCCGTGGCTCCTCGCTCCCTTGCGCCGCGCCCTCATGCCGTTCGGTCCAGGCTGGACTTATGGAGGTGCCCTGCCAGCGGAGCGATGGGAGCGATGCGCCGGGGCGCAGACGGCGCGGCGCTGGGGCGGCGGCGCAGGCTGGGGCGGTGGTCTGGCTGGACGTGGAGGAGGCGGCTGGAGGTCCCGCGTGCGGAGGGCGCCCAGCGCGCCTCTTCGAGCCCGACGCCACCTTCCAGGGGGCCTACCCTGAGGGGTCCTCGCGCCTCCGGCCGCTCTGGGCCGCCCTCGCCGCACTCTGGCTGCTGCTGTCCCTCGCCGTGCTCTCGTGGCAGACGAGCCCTGGGAGCTGGCTCGTAACAAAGCTGGTGCTGGCTGATGGGACGCCGCGGCTCAGCTCGGCCCCGCCGCCTGGTGCCTCGGCGGGTGCCTCCGGGGCGTCGCTGTTGGCCCCTGGGCGAGGCGGCGGCGCAGAGCTCCCGGCAAGTGCCACGCCAGAGGTCGCGAGGCCGGAGGCATTCAGCTGCTTCACCGCCTGGCCGCTGGCCAGCGCCTCGGCCCTGTGGGCCGAGTACTGCCTCAAGGAGAGGCCCAAGGCGTGGGTCATGCCCGTGAACTGCTCGTACGTGTGGTTTCAGTGCGGAGGCGCCTCGCTGGCCCAGTTGCAGCTGGCCGCGCTCACTCGCTGCGCGGAGCGCTCAGGCCGCCCCTGCGCATTGTTTGACAGCAACGGAGCTGGGTGCTGGCCGGGCTCCGGCGGGCCCCTGGCGCAGACGCGGGCCGAGGGGCCGCCCAGCGCAGGGCGGGGCCCGGCGGCGAGCCCGCCTCGCAGTGGCTCGCCGCAGAGCGCGCTGCCTGGCGCAGAGCAGACCGCAGTGGAAGCCGAGTCCGCTGGTGGCTCGCCAGAGCCTCTGCTGGCCGAGCCCCGAGGGGGTCCTGCGCCTGGCTCGCCAAGCATCCCGCCGGACTTCTCGCGCGTAGGCCTTGAGCCCGTCAGGATAATAGTGGACACCAACGTGGCCTTCCAGCAGTTCGGGCTGCAGCATTACCGCGCCCTGGAGTCGCTCCTGGTGCAGTACCCAGCCGCGAAAATCGAGCTGCTGCGCATTTCCACTTCGGCCTCCAACCGAGGCTACCAGCACGGTGACTCTCTTCCGAATAACATTTTGCAGAAGTACGGCCGCATGGGCTACAAGATTCTTGTCCGGCTCCTCAACGGCAGGTCCGAGCCAGCTGTCTTATCACTCACCCCGAGCACGCCCGGCAATGCGTGGTGGAGCCTTTACGGCACGAAGCTCGCAACGGCAGAGCCCCCGCAGGCTTATCAGAGGCTGCCCAGCCCTGAGGTCGCCGACCGCACGGCGAGGCTGGCGCTGCGTCTGATCCTGTTGCGGCAGTCGATCATGCAGACCGGTTTTGCCATCGTGTCGGACCTCACGGTCGCGCTCACGAAGCGCACGCCACCTGGCTTCTGGATGGTCGATCCGCGACCCAACGCTGCGCCCGCGGAGCAGGCGGTCCTTCAGGTTGGTTCTGGAGCTCGGCGTCCTGGCTCGGAGGCTGCACGGCAAGACCTGGCCGACCTGCTGGTGCCAAGCCCAGCCCTCATGGCGGCCGGGAAGGCGCAGCGCAAGGCGGTGGAGTGCGCGCTGCGGCAGTTCGACGCCGCAGCGGAGACGGGAAGGCGAACCCCAGAGGCGCATGCTCTGCACGCGTGCCTGAAGATCGCGAGCTTGGAGTCTGCTGTGGGGCTCGGCATCGCCGCGGATAAGGCGGGGGACGGGGTGTTGGAGCCGATCAGGCAGATGGTGCGTTCAGGGGCTCCAGACAGCGGATTCGTTAAGCGGTGGTTGAGCTCGTCTAGCACGAAGCCGCTGTCTAACCCTTGGGATAATCCCTTTGCACTGGGCAGCAAAGATATTCTTATTCCTGGCGTGGAAGTCCAGACTGGGCAAAATGGCTCAATGCCTATGACTGGCAACGTGTCATCACAGAAGTCTTGCCCTGCGCTCATGATTCCAGGCTACATGAAGGCCGGTTCGACTGCGTTCTATGAGATGCTCGTTCAACATCCTATGGTGCTGAGTCAGCAGAAGGGACCTCACGGCTTCAGCGAAGGAGAGCTTTATTATCAGTACTCGAAAAGTGACCGCTATCTGTGGACGCCCATGATAGAGCATGGTGAACCTTTCTTGTGGTTCGACGTAGGCTTATACTACGGCGAGAAAAATGAGGGTCAAGTCCTGGCAGACTTGCAGCACGACTGTGTCCGTACTCCCAAGGTTTTGTGGCTGCTCCGTGAACCTATATCGATGCTGATCAGCACTTTTCGGTTCATGGGAGGGAGGGGCTTCAATCAGTTCCAGGATTACGTCGACTATGTGCAGCTGTCACCGTCGAACCACCGCGTCGGGGGCTATTCGAGTCCGCGCGCGCTCACCGCCTGTCCACAGCAGTTCCGTATTGCATGGAGTGCCGGAGCTGGCCTGAGCACAGGCCCCAAAGAGTTCACGACGGCATTGTGGGAGGTCAAATGCGTCCCGAAGGCCACCGCAAACTATGCCAACACGGTATTCTGACGGCCCCAGAAAGGCACCCAAAGGCCCATTGCGTTCCCGAGGTGACCCCCAGGGGCCTAAGGAGCAACACGTGAGCGCCAAGATAGTCCCAAGGGAGTCCAAACTCAAGCGCTTTTAGCAGGCGCATGCAAACGTGACCGCGTATCCGAGCACTTCTGGTTTGAGTGCCGTCTCGGGAGCCTCTTTCTACGTCCAGGCGCCATCTTCGATACCTGTTGGCCCTCTGGCGAAATCTTGGTGGCCTTTTGAGTCCCCTCAAAGGTTCCTCAGGGCCTGCCAACATCGTTCCGGGGAGCAAGCTATGACAGTTTTTCCTCACCATCCTGTGGTGTTGGGTCCTCGTTTTGAAGAGACTGTCCCCGCGTTCCCATCCTCTCCTCTCCTCTCGTCTCCTCTCCTCTCCTCTCCTCTCCTCTCCTCTCCTCTCCTCTCCTCTCCTCTCCTCTCCTCTCCTCTCCTCTCCTCTCCTCTCCTCCACCTCCACCTCCACCTCCACCTCCACCTCCACCTCCACCTCCACCTCCACCTCCACCTCTCCTCCTCCTCTCCTCATCCTCCTCCTCCCTCCTCCCCCCTGCCTCCCTGCCTCCCTGCCTCCCTGCCTCCCTGCCTCCCTCCCTCCTCCCTCCCCTCCCTCCCTCCATCCCTATCATCGTCATCATCATCATCATCATCCTCATCATCATCATCATCATCATCATCATCGTCATCATCATTTTCATCATTTTCATCATCATCATCATCATCATTATTATCATTATCATTATCATCATCATCAGCATCAGCATCAACATCCTTATCATTATCATTATCATTATCATTGTCATCATCACCATCACCACCATTATCATCATCATCATCATTATCAGCATTATCATCATTATCATTGTCATTACGAGTATCATTATCGTTATCATTTTCATTCTCATGATCATTCTCATTCTCAATCTCATTATCATTCTCATTCTCATTCTCATTCTCATTTTCATTATTATTATTATCATTCTCATTATCATTATCATTATCATTATCATCATCATTACCATTATCATTATCATTATCATTATCATTATCCTTATCATTATCATTACCATTATCATTACCATTATCAATCTCATTATCATCATCATTCTCATTCTCATTCTCATTCTCATTATCATTCTCATTCTCATCAACGTTATCGTTATCAGTATCATTCTCGTTATCATTATCATTGTCGTTATCATTTTCATTATCATCATCAGTATCATTATCCGTATCAGTATCATTATCATCATCATTATCATTATGCTTATCATTCTCATTATCAGTATCATTGTCATTATCATTTATCATGATCATTATCATTAGCATCATCATTATCAAGATCATTCACATTATCATTTATCTTCATCATTATCATTATAATTAGCATCATCATTATGATTATCATGATCATCATCGTTAACAATCATTATCATTGTCATTTCCATCATCATTGTCGTCATCATAGTCATTCTCATACTCATTCTCACAATCATAATACTCATCATCATCATCGTCGTCGTCGTCGTCGTGGTGGTCATCGTGGTGGTCGTCGTGGTGGTGGTCGTCGTCGTCGTCGTTGTCGTCGCCGCCGCCGCCGCCGTCGTCGTCGTCGTCGTCGTCGTCGTCGTCGTCGTCGTCGTCGTTGATGTCGTCGTCGTCACCATCATCATTATCATTATCAGCATCCGTTTCAGCACACTCCTTACACGTTTCGTGGCCCCAGGGGGAGCTCCACCGAAGGTCCCAGTGGGTGTGCCCGCATGCGTCCCCCACACCCATCTCGGCACACCCCTCACATGTTTCGTGGACCCAAAGGGAGCTCCACCGAAGGTCCTAGTGGGTGTGCCCGCATGCGTCCCCCCCACACCCATGTCGGCACCTCACACGTTCCGTGGCCCCGTAAAGGGGACTCCACCGACGGTTCCAGTGGGTGTGCCTGCATGCGTCCCCCACACCCATCTCGGCACACCCCTCGCACGTTTCGTGGCCCCCCAGGGGGCTCCACCGACGGTCCCAGTGGGTGTGCCCTCATGCGTCCCCCACACCAATTTCGGCACACCCCTCACACGTTCCGCGGCCCCATAGGGAGCTCCACCGAAGGTGTCCCAGTGGGTGTGCCCGCATGCGTCCCCCACACCCATTTCAGCACACCCCTCACACGTTTCGTGGCTTCATATGGAGCTTCACCGAAGGTCCCTGTGGGTGTGCCCGCGTGCGTCCCCCACACCCATCTCGGCACACCCCTCACACGTTTCGTGGCCCCAGAGGGAGCTCCAGTGAAGGTTCAAGTGGGTGTGCCCTCATGCGTCCCCCACACCAATTTCGGCACACCCCTCACATGCTTCGTGGCTTCATATGGAGCTCCGCCGAAGGTCCCAGTGGGTATGCCCTCATGCGCCCCCCACGCCCATAGGGAGCTCCACCGGAGGTGTCCCAGTGAGTGTGCCCGCATGCGTCCCCACACTCATTTCGGCACACCCCTCACACGCTTCGTGCCCCATAGGGAGCTCCACCGAAGGTCCCAGTGGGTGTGCCCGCATGCGTCGCCATAGTGATTTCGGCACACCTTCAAACGTTCCGTGGCCCCATAGGGAGCTCCACCGGCAGTCCCAGTGGGTGTGCCCGCATGCGTCCCCGCGTCACCCCCACCCATTTCGGCACACCCCTCGCACATTTCGTGGCCCCATAGGGAGTTCCACCGAAGGTCCCAATGGGTGTGCCCGCATGCGTCCCCCACACACATTTCGGCACACCCCTCACACGTTGCGTGGCCCTGGCCCCATAGGTAGCTCCACCGATGGTCCCAGTGGGTGTGCCCTCATGCGCGCCCCACACCCATTTCGGCACACCCCTCACACGTTTCGTGGCCTTATTGGGGGCTCCACCGACGGTCCCAGTGGGTGTGCCCGCATGCGTCCCCCACACCCATTTCGGCACATTCCTCACCCATAGGGAACTCCACCGAAGGCCTCAGTGGCACCGCCCGCATGCGTCCCCCCCACCCAGTACAGCGTTTCGTGGCCCCATAGGGAGCTCCACCGAAACCGAAGGCCCCAGTGGCACCGCCAGCGTGCGTGTCCCCCAACCAGTAAAGCGTTTTGTGGCCCGATGGGAGTTCCACCGAAGGCCCCAGTGGCACCGCCCGCATGCGTCTTCACCACCCATTGCGGTATGCCCCTCACGCGTTTCGTGGCCCACCGAGAGCGGCACCCACAACCCCTTACCCACAACTGCATATGATTGGGTATTTCGGCGGGATAATTTGATGTTTGGTGGTTTTGGTTTATCAGGAACCGTCAGAGGCTCTGGAATCACATTGGAGTTATCTTGGGGCAGTATTGGGCGTTATTGGGGTCAACTGGGAGGCGATCTTCGGACAAATTGGAGCTCCCGGGCCATTCGGACGCAATCTTGAAGTATCTTAGGTCACCTTGGAGCCATACCGTAGCTTTTTCTCGGGGACTAACATGGGCTCTGGGCCTCTCTGGGGACTTCCTTAGGGTCCTTCTCGGGCTTTTTGGGACCTCTTCCGGGCTCTTGGGTCTCTCTTGGGAAAACCTTGCGGTTTGAAGGAACCAGCGAAGACGAAGAACGTAAGGAGTCTAGTGTGCTTGCCTGTAACTTGATAAGCAATTGACAACTCACAACTGACAGCGGGCAACTGACTAATTTGCCCTGTCGTTGGATTGCACTTTTCTTTGCAGGCGGGAGGATATCTGGCAGGCAGTTTTGGACCAGAGGGTGAGAATATCCGGCTGGTAGTTTTGGGCCAAGGTCAAAAGATATTTGGCTGGCAGTTTTTGGGACGGCGGGTAAGGATATTAAATTGGATTGCAGTTCTTTTGCCAGGAGGTGAGAATCCCTGGCTGGCTGTCGTTGGCCACGGTGTGAGTGTATCCGGCTCGCAGATTTGGATGAGGACATCTGGTTGGCAGGTTTGTGTCAGAGGGTGAGGATACCTGGCTGGTCGTTATGGGTCATGGAGCTGAGGACACAAGGGTGAGGATATCTGACTGGCAGCTTCGGGCCTGGGGGTGAGGACGCCTGGGTGGACGTTTTGGGCCAGGGGGTGCAGAGATTTGGTTGGCAGTGTTGGGCCAAGGGAAGAGGGCATCTGCCTGGCAGTTGTTGGTTACTCGGTGGAGGGACATCCCGCTGGCAGGTTTGTGCCAGGGGGTGAGGATGTCGACAACGCAAATGGGGAGTCACTGCCGCCCCCCTGCCCCAAGCTGTTGGACCACGCGCTCCTTCGGCCACTGTCGGTGCACTGAGAAGCCTCTGGGGGCGCCTCTTTTGGGGCGCCTGTTGTGTGGCGCGATGCCAGTTTGTCACGCCAGGGGGCGGGCCCAGTGATCTTGAAGCCCTGGAAGGGCTTTTGGGTGCTCTTGGAGGGCTGGGGACCTCTTGTCAGCCTCTTGGATGTCTCTTCTTCGAGTAGGGGATTGACTACAGAATTGATCTACCCCAAAATTAATCGACTCGTCGGATATACGGAGACATACTCAGAGTCTTCAGTAGATGCACGAGCATTCTACGTATTCGTCGTAGTTTCGATGGGGAATTGGGGGTACATCAATTCTGTAGTCGATCCTCTACTCGACTTCTGGCCCTCGGGGAAACCCTTTTGGCGCATCTCGGGAGCTTCGCAAAGGCCCTAGCGTTGAGTCGGGCGTGCCCCTCTACAGGAGGAACCCTAAAAAACAGTAAAAAACAGTCTGGGGACGATTTTTCGAGTGTATTTTACCTAACATCGAAGACTGATAGGTTTCTAATGGGCTAAAAAGAGAGCAGCACATTACTCCACAGGGGGGTCTGGGC